TACTCTCGGTGAATCAAAATGCCATGATTGATGGCATTTTGATTCACCGAGAGTAAGCCTAAGAGCTAAAGTAGGAGTAAGAAATAAAATGGATTTATTTCCTTACTCCTACTCCTTACTCCAGCTTACTCCATGTATTGTAGACCAGCCTTAACTTCTAGCTTTTGGTGTAAGGAAGCTGAAATACGGGCATGATTGTTAAAATAATTGTAACACTGATTGATGGCATTTTGATTCACCGAGAGTAAGCCTAAGAGCTGAAGTAGGAGTGAGAAATAAAATGGATTTATTTCCTTACTCCTACTCCTTACTCCAGCTTACTCCATGTATTGTAGACCAGCCTTAAGATACAGAATTGACCCCCAGTGCTACAAATATTTTTGCTACAAAAATTATGCCTGTACTTCAGCTGCTGCACTGAAAGGTAAAGGTTAGGTTTTCTTACTTCTTACTTCCAATGTAGACGGTCCCTAAGATACGTCGTAATTGAAGCGAATGATTGGTTAGCTTTTACATCCTACATCGTTGTAGTCGTGAAAGACGAAGTTCAGCCATCTTTTACAACAGGCTTTGCAATCGTACATGCTAGTTTAAAACTGTGTTTTACAACACTGTACAATCGACAACAACCACGCAACAATCATTTACGCAATTGTAGAATGTGGCTTTTACGCCAAGATTGTTATTTCTGCTTTTACTCCTTACGCCCGGCTTACTTCATGTATTGTAGATAAGCCTTGAAAGGAAGTCATAACGTGATCTCGGGCATGCGAGTTTGTTATTATAATTCTCATATACCTGATCTTCAAACCGTCCGACAGGGAGTTTACATGCGTCGCCATTTTCGAATGTGTGAATTTCGTCCAAATTCCTTGTTATATATAAACCAATTTGTCTCTGTTCTCCTGGCGGCCACACGTGCTCTAGCTCTTTGGTTCTAGCTCTTCTCTCTCCGAAGCACGGATGATAGTTGATGCTGATTCCGGCTTCCGGCGCCTTACGCTCATTTTCATTCTTGGAACTATTACGTTACACCTATTTTTAAGCACTGCCGATAAAGTCTCCACTTGGTGCGTGTCCGTTCTACGCCCATTTTTCAAGCGGGTAATGCAGTGCCCAATTTTGGTTGTGTTCCGTGCTGCATACATGAAATGTCGATAACACGAGAGTGTTATTAATTTTTCGCTAAAAAAGTGCGATGTCAAAACAAAAATGGATGTCAAATCATATCGTTAATTTCTACGGTGATTTGTCGCGACGAATATCACGCATAATTTGAAGTGGAAGTCGCATTTTAAACGAATCGCCACCACACACGGCGGTTCGTCGTGTCATGTCGCGTCGTCGTCGCGACAAATCACCGTAGAAATTTACGATATAATTACGGATCGCGACAATTACTTAAACGCGATTGATAAATGTTAATAACTTTCGAACGAGACGATCGCGTGCGTAGGAGATGATCGAGATTCTCGTAGGAAATAATCGCGTCACGAGGAGCGACGCGAAGACACGCGGTACATCCGCCGCACCGAATGATTCGACACAATAGATTGTTTTCGACCGAGGTGTATACGTCATTTCTTGGAATCCGCGCTCGGTTTTTGCGGCAGAGGTGTTTACGGTGCCGTACGCAGGATCATTCACGCGGCGACAGTCGAATTGATCGGTCATGCCCGCGCCGCTTCGCATATAGTGTTATTCTTTCTTGATACGCGTTCGCGACAAGTGCGAGAAGAAACCGCGATCGCTCTCTGTGAATAATCAACGATCGAGATCATCGTTCGATCGTTGAATTCCCGCAATTTGTGTCAGTGATTTGTGCGGATATCAGTGCGACTATGGGCTTGTTTTCTGTTCCTGCACTGGTGAACTAGTTACTAGTGCAATAAATTGGAGTAAAACAAGTATATTTTTTCTCATTCTAGCTTACTGCACTAGTTCACCAGTGCAGGAACAGAAAACAAGCCCTATGTAATCGAACAATTCGTAGTCGCAATCGGACTCGGTGACAATCGGACACAGTGAAAACCGAAGAAGTGGGATTTGGATAGGTACAGTGACAGTGATAAGTGACTTCACAAGCGGAAGTGTAAATTCGCGAGTGAAGTGGCATTTGGATACAGTAACAGTGACAGGTGACTTTACAAACGGAAGTGTAAATTCGCGAGTGTGTCGGAGGACAGCTGAGACAACGACACCTGAGAGGAGGACACCTGAGTAGAGGAGGAGGCCCAGGATAGGCATCGGGCACCATTGCTTGCAGAATCAACGTGGATACGACTTCGCCGCTGCGCGTCGTGTCGGTGAGTGAAAAATTTTTTATTAAACGGAATCTACATTTTCAGATAGTAAATTGTAGATTGATCCATTTCGTAGATCCGTTACGTTAAAATGGATAGGTTACCAATAATTTCGCGGTTTATTTAATATATTTAATTTATTGAAGAGAACTGATTTTATAGAACTCTACAAATCAGAGTATGTTGAGCTCATTTTGCATGTTACAAATCATTAAATTACATCATAGAAATTATGCGAAATATAATGACGCATATTATCGATGTATTCGGCCAACTAATCTCTCGTAGCCTATCCATTTTTAATTAAAGAATTGATATATGTATAAAGTAATATAATATGACGTGAGATTCCAATATATTTTGTCGAGGATGCTTAAATTTGAAATTATTTTCATATTTTATTTGAGATTATCGATTAACTGTAATATTCAATTATAATATCAGTGTCACTCGTGCGGCAAGTTCCTTTTTTCTGGATCTTACATCATTTATTCTACATGTCTCGCGATACTTTTAAGATGCGTTTAGCAATATGCACAGTCACACGCATCTCGTATTTTTGCGGTTGATTTTCGCGGTCGGTTTTCGCGATTAGTTTTTCATATGTTCAAGAAATTATTAATTGTTTAATTTTATCCATATTATAAATTTTAATTTTTCTATCGCGGAATATAATTAAAATAAAATTTGTTCTATATTTATGTGCTTGAATTTTATATTCAAAGATCGAGTCACGAAGATGCGGTCAACGCTTTTGAAAACGGAAGTAAAATTACACTTTGATCAGTTTCAGAAATTAAATTTTTTAAAATTAAGTTTTTTCTTTAAATAACTTCTCTTCTGGTCGTGCATTTTTCGATACAATCGTCGCTCGCATATAGTACGAACCGTACGAAATATCTGTCGGTGATAAACCGACTATGGAAGGAGTTTTCTTCCTTCCTGATCTCTGGTCAAAATGACTAGACTGTATGGCCAGGAGCAACGAAAGGTATGTCCAATCTAGCCCATCGAAGAAAGACTAGATACGACGAGGTAAGTGGTCAATATTGGCCACTGTGATGGAGTACAGTAAGGTGCTGTACGAAGTATACTTTGATTTCTTTTGATTTGTTACAATTCGAGTGGGTTATGTTTCTATGTACATAATATAAACGGAGCAATCTTTTATGTACAAAAGAATGTTTAAATAATTTTCTAGTGAATATCCAGAACAGTGTGTGCTACAAATTTTGCCGGCAAACAGTATACAAGTTTAATACAAAACTTGACACATTTAATTATACCAAAGTGCTAGTAGAAATAAAGCATGTCAATAAAATGGGACGATTAATGATAAAAAGTCAAACTTTAATAAACTTGCTGTACAGTCTAACATAGCTTGTCAGCAACATTTTATATTTCGTAGTTGTACGTATTATATAATTTATATTTCACATTTTACTTTTTATTCCATTGTCGTATGTAAGTTTCATGATAAGAGCATACGTACTCAACATAGACAGCTGCGGCATGCGAAACGAAGAAGATTGGTTTTTGGTTCGTGTCGCTACGTCGATTTTTCACCGAGTTATAGCGTTTTAAAAATCGAGCGCGCGCGCACCATTCATGTCTGAAGGCCGCGTGAGTTTACGCGAGTATTACGCAAGCCTACTACGTCCCCCAAAAAACTGGCATAAAAACACACGACGTACACCTGTTCGGTAGTAAACATTGCCACGCGGACGCCGCGCTAGACGCCGCGCGAGACGCCGCACATACGCGTCGTCTGCTGCTTCTGTCCTCAGGAATAAGATCGCGAGTCGATATAATCGTTAATATCTTCGCACAGAAAAATCGTAGGAAGATGATCCTGGTCTCGTTGGAAAGCTAAGATTTCAGCGCTTCTAACGAGATAAGAATCGCTTATCTCGGATTATTAGATTATGAAATATCATCGATTAATTTTGAAAATAAAATTGATTTTGTCCCGAGATCGAGATCACGAGTCAATATAATTGTCTATAACTCCGCACAGAAAAATTGTAGCAAGATGAGCTTGGTCTCGTTGGGAAGCTAAGATTTCAGCGCTTCTAACGATATAAGAATGGCTTATTTCGGACCATTAGTTTATGAGGCATTATTGATAAATTTCGAGAAAAAAGATTTTGTCCCAAGATCGAGATTGTGAATTAATCTTTCGATTGGATGAATCTCTCTCACGTCGTGCATTAAGTAGCAAACCTAATTTATGTTTACTCAATGTTTATTTTTCTAAATATACACTGCATATGTAATTGTACGGTTTGTTGTTGATAATCCCCTCCTCGGGTACTACCTTGTCGCGGTGGAGGGGCTCAAGTACCCCGAAGAGTTACTCTCTAAAAATCAATCAGTGCATTATCACTGAATCAGTGAATATTTACTGTTTTCAGTGATAATCCATTGATTGATTTTAGTGAGTATATATTCTAAAGAAGGGACAACCAAAGGTACCCATTGCACTATTTAGGTCCGATTTTTCATTTTTTAAGAAACTGTTGACCACAGTTTAATCGATTCTCTGTCTTTTCTTAGATAATAATATAGAAAAGGATAGAGAGTCGAGTAACTTCCATATTAACAGTTAACCAGAAAATGATAAACCAGGCCTAACACTCTCTGAAAGTTAATCGGTGGATTATTACTGAAAATAACGAATCGATTCACTGTTTTCAGTGATAATCCATCGAGTGACTTTTAGAGAGCACATTTCTTTATTTCATTTATTAATTGATTTTGTTCATTTCTCTCATTTCAGCACTAACTTTCGAGGACTATTACTCGAATAATTTAAACGAATCGCAACCGCGCGCGGCGATTCGTCGTGTCGCGTCGCGTTCGGGAGTGCCGTTTATGTAATCGGAAGGAGACTTTTAAGGTGTAAAATCGCGCGAACGATCTTTGTGCTTTCGCGAGTGTGCCAGAAGACAACCTGAGTGGAGAAGGAGGCCTCGGAAAGGCATCAGGCGCCGGCGGAGCAACTTGGCGGTAAATATTACTTTTATTTTTTGTAAAATTAATATCTTTTCCGGTTTATTATATTCATTTCTTTATTACTTATTGTTAGTATTTGTTTTTTCACATTAGAGCCTTTTGAATTTTATTCATTGTTATATTGAGTTATTTTATATCTTAATTTCATATAATTTCTAATAATTAAAAATAATAATTAGAAAACAAGATGCAATTTTAAATTTAACAAAACTACGGATTATGTGCACAAATTCATGCGGAAAGGCATCAGTGATTCCTATTCTACAAAATAATTTGATTTCTTTCATTTGTCGCAATTCGGGTGGGTTATTCTTTTTTATACATATATTTTCGCATATGTGCGAGATTGAAAAGATCCCTATTAAATCCCAATCGCGTCGCGTTTTGAATAATCCATATACTACGAATTGACCGCTCTTGGGTCCTGTGTAATATCAAAAATAGTTTCGTTATAATTCTTTTTTATTACTTTTTGTAATTCATAAATAGAGATTACTCATTGTTCACTTAGATAGCTTCCTCTTTTTTCTCGTCCTTGTTGAATTTTAAATCGATTTGTTGGGAAATTATCGATTAGCGAGCAGTACGGATATGTAACCAGCTGACGTTTTTATTAACTGAAAAAGAAGTTCATTGTATATAAAATGATAATAACGCATATGTAGATACGCGATAATAAATAGTTATAAGCCAAAATAAAATAATTAAGACAGTTAATTTTATACTTACAGATCAAACTTGGATTAATTTGATCATTGATTAATTCAATCGGCAATATTATTTAGCATCTCTAAAGCCTGTATTAGACTACGGATTGAGATTCAGATTAGATTGAGATTTGACCAATCCGAGTAAAATTCATTAAACTTGATATTAGTAAACTTTACTCCGACTGGTCTAATTTCAATCTAATCTCAATCTCAATCCGTAGTCTGATACGGGCTTAACTGTAATTAGTTTAATAACATTTGCAAAATTTTTTACTGTGTAATTTCGAATTATAATTTGTTGCTAATTTCTAATCTTTAAAATCTCTTTTTTCTCACGTGTTACATGACAAAAATAAATCACTCAATTTTACCATTAATAAAATTCTATTGCTATTATTTAATAAGTGAGTCGTCAATTAAATTAATCACATATGTACGGACACATAGATGAATTACAGATGCTTACACTGCAAAACAAAGATAGTGTCATGGGAAACATCTTGCCCGCGGTAATGTATAGAGGTTTCTCGGCACGCATCATTATCATCATCAATTTTTTGGCTTCATTCGGCGTCCTCAAGTACCACGTGTAGTTATATACTGCATAAAATATTGCCTCGGCCTGTAAATTTTGTTACTGAAATCTCTACTTAAGACTGTTTCTAGGAAGTCTTATAATTTAAATGAAAAATTAGAAGAAGCACTGCAATTTTATATATGTATACATATGTGTAGTAACCCAGTGAAAAATAATTCATCGAAATGACGTCGACATTGTCAAATTGATGTCGATTCGACATTATTTTGACAACGATCGACGAGATTTTTCGCTGGGACTATTTTTATACTAAAACTCGCTGTTAATGTTAAAGATAAGCACTTACTTTGGCTATAAGAATCTCCCCGACCACGCAGTATAGGCACATGTGAGCGAATGTATTAATGAGAATCGAAACGAGCCAACATATTCGCATAAAGGAAACTTCGCCGGCGTCTCCGTCAATGATCTAGATATGTTAACATATTTTCTATCGATGTTTTTCTTTGAAAGAATTATTTTAATATCTTAATTTTTCATTTCCTTTGGGGTATAACATGTGCTTATAATTTGCATGAGAAATTGAGAAATGTTTCATGAAAAAGTTTCTTCGTTACTTTATTCGCTCCCATCTCAGCGAGATATTTTGGTGATAGATATTTTATATTATTATTTTATATTATTATTTTGAAAAAGGAATAACTCTCTTCTCCCGTCCGTCAACTTACGGTAACTATTAGAAATCCCTGTAGGCAAAATAACATAGCGAAATACACTAATAATGCCAGAAGCATCAAGTTGAACGTGTTGTCGATGACATCAACAGACCTACGATATGAGATATCGTACGTTGTAACATTAATCGGTTTCGATCAAACGAAAAATCTCGGACAACATATATCACGAGTATTATTTTACGAAATTGCAAGCGCACTCGTTCGACACACCAAGCAAACACGAGATAGCTCTTGATAATTTTTGAGAAACACATGAAATTACTTTATGAAAGTGTGATAAAATTAAGATACACTTGCATTAGCTGACTGCTTGATTACCGTATCGTTCAAAGTTCGTGTTTGAAAATACGTATAAAATACTATTTGCTTGTCACAAATTTATAGTCTACACTGATAAAAAAATATCTTAATCCAAGAAAATATTACTTTACTCAAGAAAATTATTCATTAGGTGGCTCCCCTAATAGCTTATTAATTTAAATTTAAAAATAATAAATTAATTAAAACATGCATTGCTTTAATTTAAGTATTTATTAAATATCAAAGAATAGATCATTTTAATTAAATAAATCATTTTAAATTAAAAATTTGTATTTTAATTCTATAAAATGTTTACTAAGATGTAATTTTCACAGCGAAGAAAATTGGATTTCTTATTTAACAAAAACAATTATTTCATTTAATAAATAGTATTTTATATCTCATGAAATCTTTATTTGAATGTAAAAAATGTAATGATTTAAATTAATTTACTTAATATAATACATAGATTTACTTGACATTTGACATTTTTATTTAAATAGAATAAATATTTACTTCAGTAAAAAACAATTTTAAGTAAATCTATTTACTTAGTTTAAACAAATTTTTTTGTCAGTGTAGTAATTAATTTATTATCGCGTTATAAGTAACGTGTGTAATAACAATCGAGTTGTTTCAAACAAATATTGTATATTTGAACTTTTTTTCACACACGCAATATGTTTTAGTAATTTTAGCCAAATTATCACTTCCTCCATTTCTTTATATTATTTAAAAAGAATGACAGTATAAAGTACGTAGATTGAATATCGAGTTTAATATCACACCTAATAAGACGCAGGTGGTCCTTGATAGTGAAGGCTAATCCAGTACTGAAGTCTTTGAAATTGTCCAAATTGATCATTCGCTCTTTGAGGATTTCCAATTGGGCGCATATGTGAAAAACGAGCAAACCTAGAAAGGTATCGATGCCCGTGTAAGAAATCGCGGCCACCAAGATCGTTGAAGCTTGCGCGGCGATCACGATTTCGTAGTACGGGGTCTCCGTAATGTCTCTCAAATAATATGTTTGTACCAGCATCGGTCTTCCCGGATCTGTCAAATTTGTCAGATACCTCGTTGTATATCCAAAGATAGGTGGAATGATGAGAATGGCAGACGCGAAGCTCATCATGACACATCCGAACACGACCATCATTCTAGCGAATCTCGCTTGCCTTATCATGGTATCTCGTTCTTGCGTCGTTTTCGTCCTAAGCCAATCCTCCACGATCATGCTTACGATGGGTTCAAGCTCTTTGGAAAAGGATACCAAAAAATATGGATTAAATTGACGCTGCAAGAAGCAGGTGAAATATTGCAGAGTAAATAGTAATATAGAAGGATTTACCTTTCTTGCGTAACCACATGATGACAAATTTCATGACGGTTATTGAGAAGGGCAGGCCGATTTGCATATTGTCCGTCATCGCCAGCATGTCGCCCCAGACTCTCAACAGCGCTAGTAATCCCGGTAAGACCGATACCCAAAACATCGTGGTGAATATAACGAAAGCGCGGAAATCGGCCAAAAATTTTTGCCGACGACTTAACTTTTCGTCTGGCCACAGGCCGAGGATCTTCAGAGAAATCCGATTTATCCCGATTGCCCAATCCAGGTCTATGTAATTATCACGCTGTTACTGATTAAATCGACAGATGGGGAACGATAAACGAGTCTTAGCAACATTGTGTAGCTCAAGTAAATTAAAAATCAAATTTCGTAATCAAATCATAATTTCGTAATGATCATTTGTCGAAATAATTAAATGACGATAATGAGACACGACGCGAAAATTTGTAAAGTGTCACGGTAATTGTTTCGAGTTTGACAATAAAGTGTGTTCGCATGAAAATTATTTTTGCGTCACTCAATCTTTAAGCAAAATCTGTCGTCTCTGTTCTTTTAATTGATGTTATCAAACGCATATTGGAATCACTGATGAGGACATTTCAAACGTGAAATTTTGTATTCTAATGAAACTAATGCAAGTATATGTAGATTTACGTCAGTATCGAGTCTCACAAACCGTTTTATTGGTACAGAATTTAATGATAGAAAAATATAGACACCTGTGTATGCCAGTTCCTTAGAACTGTCCATGTTCAAGACTAAACGAAGACTGGCATTTTTTTATGAATTCAATATTCTCTCTTGCCTCAGGGAGCACGGCAATTACGCATGCTCACGGAAAAAGTTCTGAAACGCAGGTGCTGAGGTGCAAAGTACGGGCGCTCGTAAATATTTCAGATATTAATGTCTGCCGTATCTTTTTTTAGGGGCGTATAATTTCACGTTCGAAGACACGAATTCGTGGCTCTCCCGCGGCATCGCTAAATAGCCTGATGAATATCTAAACAGATGTAACGTCCTCCAATTTTCCTGGGGCGCTCGTTATTAATTTATCCTTGGTCTCTCGCCTCGCTTAGAAAACCTGCTCTTTTTCAACAATATGCATTTTCTCAAACTTACCTGGCATTTTGCGTCAAACTTTAAAACGCAAAAAATTATTGCGTCGACACGTAAGCGACGTTTCCTCGATGAGCGACGCTTTGGGCGACGTGTGTTGTAGCAACGCGAAAGAGCCAAAAGATAGCAACATAAAATAGACTGATCGTTACAGGATATAATAAAGTAGGATGAATGTACGTTAAGTAGAAAATGTGTCGTGGCTAACGCAGTGCAATAAGAAACAATTGTGTATATTTATATCGAGTTACAAATTATTAATATGTAAACGTGCAAGAGGTGACGTTGATTAACGGCAACATTGTTTGTAATAAAATGTGATTGTCTCAAGTCTCAAAATATAAATAATTAAACACATTGGAGCTGTTGTATAATTGAAAAATTGAATTAAAATATTAAAATATAGACCAACGTTATCTTGACCGATACTTAGTTCTGTCTAGAAATTTCTGGATGCCAAGTATGGAGGCCGCACTACCTTTATCTCCAAAATTTTGCGAATTCAGGCACCATGCAATTGTGCAACGACTGCCCAATATCGTTGACGTTAGTAATGTGGGGAAAGAGAAATCGTATGTGGTTTGACGCAACAAAATGAATTAAGTATAAAAAGATTAAGCGACGGTACTGAAAATGAGAAACATTGCAATCTTCTCTGCTGTCTTTCGATTGGCTCATAGACGTTCAAGGGCTCGAAGGCCAAGCTATAGGATCAAAAAGTATCGGAATTTTTGTACTTAAAATTATATTATAGATTATATAAAGAGAATATTGTAAACGATTTTTTTTGTAGAATAGTATAAAATATTTTCTACCAAACACAACCTCAGTTCGACTTATATCTCGACAGATGGAAATTGATTTGGTCAAATCTAATTCTCTTTTCCTGGGTAATATCGGAGAACCTGCATTCTTTTAAAAAACTATTGCCATAATTGGTATGTTGTTTACATGTAATTTAAACTTAAATAGTTTAATAAAATCAAATTGAGGAGAGAATAAAGCAATCAGTAATTCTATATTAAAAGTTCAATTAGTCGTTTGACTTCTTATCGGTCAATATAAAAATTTTACATTTCTGCTTGATGTTCCCCGAAATTATTAACAAATTTTTTATTGCCTTTGCTGTCTCGTTTCTTTCACTTACAAATCGTAGAGGTGTATCCTATCTTGCCACATGTTGAAAGAAGTTTTTGAAATAACAGTCGTCTGTAGCACCCAGCGAGAAATGATTTGTCAATCGACATCGAAACTGTCATATTGATGTCGATTTGACAGAATCGTGCTTTTATTTGGCGTCGGATTCATAATCTTGCAGCAATTACCTCAATTCCGCATACGTTTTCGGCTTCGCAGAGGTATATAGATTACTCAATAAGATATAATATATGTCTTATTTCCCAGTAATGTGATAAAGAAGAAGTAATTGCTTATTCACGTCGATATATTTTAAGATTACGTACGCTTCGAATTGTTCGAGCCGGGCTTGGAAGATGTTTGATTTCATGGGTTGAACTCAGACACACGGCGGCGCTATTTTTCTTATACTTTAGGGTAGGGTGTGTAATAATTACTCACTACTAAGCAGAGAAAAATATGTATTTAGTGCTAGTAAAATTACATTAAGTTACAGCGCAGAAGAAGAACAGTAAGAATAGATCTAGTCTAGAACAAAGTATCGCTAACTAAAAGTAGAGTCCTAAAGTATTATGTTTCACATTGCATATACTATGGGAGTTGATGCATAAATTCGTCCCGTTTTTAAACCAAAAACATATCTATTACATTTTGTCGATATACATTTAATCAGTGATATATGCAATCTCACGAGTTGTTTTATGACGACCAGTTTCAATCAAGGTCAAGATTTCGCAACTGTCAATTTCGGAAGGCCGTCCAGAACGTTTCTCATCCGTGAGATTAAAATTAACATTACGGAATCATCGGAACCATTTACGAACGGTGGAATCATCAATAGCATCTTCTCCGTAGACAGAACATATTTTTCTTTTGGTCTGAACAGCAGTTTTGCCTTTTCGAAAATAAAAAAGCAGAAAGTGATGCTTAATTTTATCCATCTTTATAAATTTATACAACTCACAAGCATCAATCGACGACGACAAATTTGACAGTAAAGTTTCCGTTCAATTGCTACTTTCAAATGTTTAATACGTCATATAAGTGTGAAGTTAATAGCAGATCGAATTCGTATATAAAGTGCGCGAATGTTTAAAAACGGGACAAACATATGCATCAATACATTAACTTAAACAGTTTCCTCTATATCTTCGCTCATGATGTCCTCGTAGAATTTCTAAGCGTTTTATCGGAAAATTATCGAATAGCGAGCAGTACGGATAAGTAACCGACTGACGTCTTTATCAACTAAAAAAGAAGAAGTCTAATGAACATATGTATACGAATATGGTAAATGTATAGAAGTGGTGCTTCAGCAGGAATCGCAGTTCTTTTGTGGGAATCAACAAAACAAACAATAAAAACATATGTACGTAAGATTTTAATAGGGGAGCTTAAAAATTTTGTAGGAAAAAAAATTCAAAAACGTTTCATTAGGGATGGAGTAGATCCAAAAAAGGAGACTCAGCTACTATTGCTATTTTTTAATAAGTCAATCGCCAATAAAATTAACCGCATATGTAAGCATATAAATGCATATGCACATAGACAAGTTACGGACACTTACGCTGCAAAACAAAGACATGGTCAAGGGAAATATCTTGCCCGCGGTAATGTACAAAGGTTTTCCAGCGCGAGTCATTAACATCATCAAATTTTTGGCTTCATTTGGCGTCCTCAAGTACCACGTGTAGTTATATACCGCATAAAATATTTCCTCGCCCTGCAAAATTTTATTACATTATGAAATCTCTACTTAAGACTGTTTCTAAGAATTCTTATAATTTGATATAAAAAACACTGCAATTTTATCCATATGTGCAGTACTATCTATTGTACTCGCTGTTGTAGTAAAGACAAGCACTTGCTTTGGCTATAAGAAATTCCCCGACCGCGCAGTATAGGCACATGTGAGCGAATGCAGTAATAAGAATTGTAAGGAGCCAAGTCATTCGCAGAAAGGAAAGATTGTTGTCTCCGTCAATCATCTAGACAGGATAACATAGTTTCTTGTTTTGTTAGAAAAATTTACTTCAATATCCTAATTTCCTTTCCTTTAAGGTACCCTACACTGAGAAAAATGTCCGATTAAATATAATCGGATAATAATCCAATTACATAATAACAAACGGATGTATCCAATTAAATTGTATCCAATGAAAAATATGAACGGTTTTTCAATCTCATTTCATCGGATAAATTTCATCTGTTGTGTCCACAATTTAATCGGAAAACGTAATCGGAAAAGTTAACCGTCGGAAACACTATTTAATTGGTTTACCCGATGGAAATTTTTCTCATTGTCAGTGTAGTAGCACAGTGCATGGACCAAATACTGGTTAAACATTGGCCTAATGCAACCAAATATAGTTTGGTCCACGCACTGCGCTACTAGGGTATAAATGTGTACGATTCACATGAGAAATTGAGAAATGTACCGTGAGTAAGGTTTGTTCGATATTTTATTCGCTTCCGTTACAGTGAGAAATTTCGGTAATAGATATTTTATATTATTTTATATTATTTTTTTCAAAAGAAAATAACTCTCTTGTCCGCCAACTTACGGTAACTATTACAAATCCTTGTAGACAAAATAACACAGCGAAGTACATTAATAATGCCAAAAGCATCAAGTTGAACGTGTTGTCGATGACATCAACACACCTACGATATAAGATGTGGTACGTTGTAACATTGATTGATTTTGGACGAAAAATCTTGGAGAACACATACCACGTGCATTATTTTGCGAAATTGTAAACATATTCATTGGACATAAAAAATTAGCACGATGCAAATATTGTGTGGGCAAGAGACAGCTCTTGACAATTTTTTAAACACATGGAATTATCAAATAAAAATGTAATAAAATTAAGATACACTTGCATCTGCCGATTCCTCCTCCGCTTCTTTACATTATTTTAAAAAATGACAGTGTGAAATATATCGAGCTTAATCACCTAAGAAGACGCAGATGGTGCTTGACACTGAAGGCTAATCCAATGCTGAAGTCTTTAAAATCGTCCAAATTGAGCAATTGCCCTTTAATGATTTCCAATTGGGCGCCTATGTGGAAAACGAGCAAACTTAGAAAGGTATCGATGCCCGAGTAAGAAAGCGCGCCTAGCGAGATCGCTGCAGATTGGGCGACAAACACGATTTCATAGTACGGGGTCTCCAAAATGTCTCGCAGATAGTACGTTGGCAACAGCAGCGGTCTGCCCGAGTCTGTTAAATTTGTCAGATATGCCGTGGAATATCCTAAGATAGGTGGAACGACGGAAATGGTGCCCGAGATGACTATCATTATACATCCGAACAGGACTATCATTCTGGCAGTTCTCGTTTGCTCTATCATGATATCTCGTTCCCGCGCTGTTTTCGTCCTGAGCCAATCTTCCACGATCATGTTTATGACCGGTTCAAGATCTTCGGAGAAGGAAAAGTACGGATCGAATTGACGCTTGAAAAAGTAGGTAAACTATTACGAAGTAAACGGTAATATAGAGAGTTATAGAAAGAGAGATTTACCTTTCTTGTGGAACCTTATAAGAAGAACTTTCATGACGTTCACTATGACAGGTAGATTGATTTGTATATTGTCTGTCATCGCCATCATGTCGCCCCAGACTCTCAACAGCGCTAGTATTCCGGGTATGATTAATACGCAAGTTATCAAAATAAAAACAATCAGAACGCGTAGATCCGCCAAAAGTTTTTGCCGATGATTTAACTTAGCGTCTGGCCAAAGACCGATGATCTTCAGAGAAATCCGATTTATCCCGATTGCCCATTCCAGGTCTATGTATAGCAACATCGTGTAGCTCAAGTAAATTAAAAATCAAATTTCGTAATCATTATTTGTCGGAATAATTAAATGACGATGATGAGACACGACGCGAAAATTCGTAAAGTGTCACGCTAAACTTTTCGAGTTTGACAGTGAAGTACGTTCGCATGAAAATTTGTGCATCACTGAATCTTTAGACAAGATCTGTCGTCTGTTTTATTCATTGACAATTAAAAAAAAGAAAAAAGCGTACGTGAGAATCACCGTCGAGTAACATTTCACACGTTAAATTTTATAATCTAATAAAACTACGTATATATGTAGGTTCACGTCAGTGTCGAGTCCTACAAAAGGTTCTGCCAATTATGTTTCTTGATACAGAACTTATCGAGAAGTCGAGAACGATAGAAAAATATGGGCACCTGTGTATGCCAACTCCTTAGAGCCGTCCATATCCAAGGCTAAACGAAGACTGGCATTTTTTTTGTGAATTCAACATTCTCCCTTGTTTCTCAGAGAGCGATTACGCATGCTCACGGAAAAAGTTCTGAAATGCACGTGCTGAGGTGCAAAGTACGGGCGCTCGTAAATATTTCAGATATTAATGTCCGTTGCATCTTATTTTACGGGCGTATAATTTCTCGTTCGAAGAAACGAATTCGTATGCCCCTCCCGCGGCATCGCTAACTAGTTTATGAATATCTAAACGGGTGCAACGTGTGTAAACTCCTAATTTTCCTGGAGCGTTCGTTATTAATTTATTCACTAGTCTTTTTCCTCGCGTTGAAAACCTGCTCTTTTTCAACAATTTGCATTTTCTCAAACTCAACTGGACGAACTTTAAAACGCAAAAAATAATTGCGTCGCCACGTAGCTTCAAGACTGCTGGGCGATCTGTGTTTGTAGCAACGCGAATGGCCGAAAGACAGCAACACGAAGGAGACTAATCGTCATGGTAGTTAATAAAATAGAATGAATGTACATACGTTGAGTATAAAACGTGCCGTGGCTAACGTAGTGCAATGAAAAATGAGATACGATTGTGTATATTTACAAATTATTAATATGCAAGTGTATAAGCGGTGATTCGTCGGCAACATTGTTTGTAATGTAGCGCGATTATATCAAGATATAAATAATTAAAGGCGTCAGGGATAAAATGTACATTTAACAAATTGAATTAAAATTGTAGAGATAATAAATACAATGTTACTAATTTCGTGTAATTTAAATGAATATTTTTAGGTATTATCTCCCGAAATAAACGACGAGATAGTACATAGAGCATTAATGATAAAGATTACATTCTTAATGCGAGTACGATCGTTTATTGTGGTTGATTATACACATGAAAGTTCCTCTCGTTCAAATCAACGAATTGACTTCGTTTACGTGGAAAAACGAGGTCCATTTGGCGCATCGATTGAACGTTGCTCAACACGGTACCATTTTGCATCGCGAAAAATCAGATTCCATCGAAAGTTGTCCCGATCAATTTATCCAGTGTCTAAATATCATCGATTGGCTAGCAATACCGATATGTATCCGGCTGACGTTTTGATCAGCTGCAAGCAAAGGTATAAAAAGATCAAGCGACAGTTCTGGAAATGGTGTAACGTTGCGGCATTCATAATTCAATTAATTTGTCGGTTATTCCATCATATTACGCGGATATTTCGGTGAATAGTAGCAGGCTATCTTACGCTACAAAACATGGACAGTGTCATTGGAAATATTTTTCCCGCGGTGATATAAAGAGGTCTGTCGGCACGGATCATTATCATCGTCAGATTTCTGGCTTCGTTTGGTTTCAGCGAATACCACGCGTAGTTGTACACCGCATGATATATACCTTCACACTGTATTAGACAGAATTGGGAAAGTTACTTTATATAAAAGTATCAAGTTACTGTTACAGTTTCTCGCTAAAAATGTAACTAGTTACAGTTACTAATTACCAATTCTGAAAAGTAACGCGTTACAGTTACAGTTACTCAAAAAGTAACGAATTGTTACTTTTGCAGTTACTTTCTTGCAATGACAATTAAAATCTGCATTTAAATTGTAACGTGTCGATAATGGCGTTTATGCGCAAACGCAAGGCCTAATGCAATCTGCACTGATAAAGACATATGTAGTATTTGAAACTATAATTGCATAGTAAAATAATTATAGGAATATAATTTTTATAGTAATTATGTGGTTGGCTCCAAAAATGACTATAAATTATGGTGAGATTGCGGTAACTGCAACCATTTTTTTCTGTTATTGTGTGGAGGTTTAAAAAATATATAAAGTAACTATTAATGTAATTGAGTTAAGATACAGTTACAGATGGAGAGAAAGTAATGAAGTTAAGTTAGAGTTCTAAAAAAAAGTAACTGTAACTTTGTTACAAGTAACGAGTTACTTTCCAACCCTGGTACTAGATATTGTTAAATAAGTTAATGTCAGAATCTTTCGTGTGCAAAACTGACAACAAACCCGCTATCGTGTGTTAATTAATTGCGTCAGAAGACCGCAGTAGACTAGAATGCTGATAATGTTCTTCAAGAAATAATCGCGAAAACTTCGAAACATATCGAAGATCGATGAACTATTTGCATTTTACCGATGCACTGCATTTACAATCGATTGTACCAATTTATGATGCATAATAGAATAACGAAAAATACGGTGAAAGGCAGAAAAAAGGCAATAAAAATACTCACTTTTGCGATGAGAATTTCACCGACCACGCAGTAGAGCAACATATGAACGAACGTAATAATGAGTTCCGAGACGAGCCAACATATTCGCGGGAAGGAGACGTTGCCACCGTCATCAATTATCTATACACATTAACATAAGAATCCCGCTTCGTATCAGACACTTGAGTACTTATACAATAACAGTTATTCTGGTCTGATTTTATTATACTTATAAAATAATAAGGTTCTCCTTTCATGACTTACACTAATTATTAGAAAGCCTTGGAGGCAAAATATTATCGAGAAATACACTAACAACGCCAGGAGCATCAAGTTGAAGGTACTTTCGATGATATCGATGGATCTACGGAGCATAAAATTTCACAAAATATAAGGCACTCGATTCTGGTCATACAATAGATTTTTTAATAGATCTTATGCCTTTGACCAGGCCAGAGCGAATATCGTCGACCTTGATTAAAGCATTAACTTTATTATAAACTTGCTTTCGCAGTTATATGTGTATGTGCTTCTAACAATCCCGGGGAAAATTATTTGCTCTTTTACAACGCGAAAACACAATTTAACCGATAAAATCGCTAACTCGTTAATTTCTTTCCTCCGTCTATGTCATAATGAGCGGACTAATTGTAAGCCCGTAGCAACTTAGTCCTAGTCTACAATAGATGACTAAAAAATGAAGAGAATACTCGTCTATGGTCAATTTCTTATGGCTTAGGACTTAAATCACCTATTGTATTGTAGATCAGGAGGTCAATTCTGTATCTTACACTGTAGTGAAAATGCTGAATGTAAGTAGCTAATTTTTAGCATTTTCACTATATTGTAAGATACAGAATTGATGCCCAGGACGTAAAGTAAAGGAACGCAATCTGCAACCTGATAAGACGCATGTGATTCTGAACATTCGTCGACAGCCCGAGATTGAAGTCTTTATATTCATGTAGATTGGTAAATCGCGTCCTAAGAATTTCCATCTGGGCGCATATGTGAAATACAACCAGGCCCAGAAAGTTGTCGATCCCCGTGTAAGAGAACGCCGCCATTATGACGGCTGCGGTCTGCGCGACGAACGCGATTTCGAAGTACGGGCTCTGCGTCATGTCTCGAAAGTAGTACGTTTGCAGCAACAACGGCTGCCCCGGGTCCGTGACGTTCGTCAAATATCTCATGGAGTAGCCGAAGCACGGCGGGATGACGATAATGATTATCGCCAGGACCATCATGATGCATCCGAACACGACGATTCTTCTCGCAAACCTTGCCTGCTTTATCATGGTATCGCGCTCGTCCTCCGTCTTCGTTCTGACCCAGTCTGCCACGACCATGCTCACGACCGATGTGAGATCTTAACAGAAACAAGAACGCGAAGCTTCGCAAATTAGATTCTAACTGTTACGAATCGGAATATAAAAATGTGACTCGTACCGACTTAAATATGCGCGACAGCGGTGCAACAGAAATATCGAAAGAGTATCGAGAATTTTTTACCTTCACGATTCAATGATATCTGTCGTGTGTTCTCGATAAGATGGCTACAAGATTATTGTGAAAAAACTGGATGGCAAAATTAATGCAATCGATTTTAAGAAGAAGGTAGAACCACAAAAGATATTTTCGAAGGAACGAGATTAAATCATAGACATAGTATAGACTGTGCATTATGGCTGCAGACGTTTGCACACCTGAGAAAGAGACAACATGTGCTTTACCTCGTAGCTCTTTCTCTGTCTATCGTTCCTCTACTCTTTTGTTTACCCCCACTACTCTCTAAAGTTTTTGGAGTGAAAATAGAACCGCGGAGTGAAACGTTCACTCTATTGGAGCGAATCTTTACTCTATTAGAATAAATATTTACTCCAATAGAGCGAATATTTCACTCCACGGTTCTATTTTCACTCCAAAAACTTTAGAGAGTACACTGAGAAAGTAGTCTCTGAAAATTTATTTGTGGCATATAACGTTTATTTCACTGAAATAAACATTATATGCCTCAAATAATGTTTATTTTAGCGAAATAAACATTATATGCCACAAATAAATTTTCAAAGACTTTTCTCTCAGTGTACTTCACTTCGACAAAGACAAAGATACGAGCGAACACCAGCTATCTCGTTCTAAAGTTGACACATGTTTTCACGCGAGTAAAGTAGAGAACGCGCAGTATACTATGTCTATGGATTAAATACGGCTTTCTTATTTTTATCATTGATATGAATATCGATCTCTACCTTCTTTTCGAAGCCACATAATGATGATTTTCATGGCGGTAGCTGTGATAGGTAGCGTGATTTGCAAGTTGTCTATCATCGCTATCATGTCGCTCCAGACTCTGATAAGCGAAAATAGCGAGGGTATGATTGACACAGTAACCAACGTAGTGAAAATAACGAAAGCCCGTAGATTCGCCAAGAACTTCTGTCGACTGCTTAATGTCTCGTCAGGCCATAAGCCGATCATTTGCAGGGTAAAGCGATTTATTCCGATGGCCCATTCTAAATCTGCATAATCACCACGACGTTACATAATTATATCTTTAGTGAATATAATTTCTACTTGACACCGTTATTATTAAATGGATATATTCTTCACGAAGTATGTAACGAAATGTAGCACGCGAAATGTATAATGTGCATAAATCTGCGAATTTTGTATCAGATTCACTTTACACAAGCGCTTTCACACTCTGGCTCACGTCTCTGAATTCACGTATAATTTTCCAAACAGTAAAAAAACAGTTAAAAATATAGAAAAATCCCTTAATTTTGTTTTATTCGATAAGCGTGATGTAATAAAGTATCACGAATTTAGCATTTGTGTCTTTGCAAACCAAAATGCAGTTTTTCAAAAACTATCGACCTGCATGTTCGTAATACTTGGAGTTGTCCATGTCCGATACTGCGTTAAAACTGGACATGTATGTCTTTTTCCCTTCTTTAATCAACTGACCTTTTCAGAAAGACTAGTAACGCATAGCGAAACTTCTGTAAGTGATGTGCTAAAATGCGAAATATAGAATCTCATAAATATCGTGCTACAACGTGTCCGCCATATATCGTGCAGCCCGGCCGCAAATTTATAAATTCTTAAAGGAATGAAATAATTCCTATGGTCTTCATATTTTTTATTCATGAAATGTTACTCATATTTTTTACCGTCTTTCATTATTAATTCACTTCGTCTCTCTGATGTCGCTCTTTTTCAGTTTGGATTTTACGGAACCTAACTGTTAAGGCAACTGTGTAATAACGCAAAAAATGAACATCAACTTGCCGCGTCGCTACAAAGTTTCACGGACGGTGCATCGATAATGATGCATTGTTATAGCAACGTGAAAAAGACAACGGATGGCGAGGTAAAGTATGGGGGTTTTGCGGGAACCGAATGAGACAGGCATTTTAGTTTATGAACAGCGTTCCTCAGTGAAACGTGCAGTTGACGTATCACAGTGAAATAGAATCAACGTGCAAATTTCGTGTTTCTTTTTTAAAATTTCGATGTAATTTTTAGTAAATTTTAATAAAACAGTAAGTTTATTAGAATTTGCTAAGTGTATATTTTACTATTAGATAGAGGACTGTGCGATATATTGTACGTGTAAAATTATTCTTCGAGTTACTGGCTATTTAAAAATAACTTAACCATTGAAATTTAATTTGAACAAAGATTGAAAGAGAAATTCAATCTGAACAATATGCAAAATGTCTAAAGTACACGTATGTATATACGTGTATGCGTATATGACAGGAACAACGATATCTTTAATTAGACATCTGGCTTTGTGCTACATCCGCGAATAAGACACGTACATGAGTTAATCAGTTCGTCCTAATGAAAGTTTTTGAGATACTTTATTTGTAAGAAAATTTAAATAAATTACCCAGACAGCATACACGTCTAAAAGACGTCTACGTCTAAAAGATGTCTTAAAGATATCTTTACGACATGTCTTTTAGACACGTGTGCTGTCTGGGTGTGATGTTTATTTTCTAAGCAAAAAAATGGCGTAAGTCTATGTGCATACGTGCAAAACAAGATTTTTATAAATGCACAATTGCTTCTAAGTTTGTCTTTGTGACTATCCGGAGAGAAGTTTGGACATCAAAAAAACTTTCATTATCAGTCCTTTTATTACAATAATTGTACATTCAATGCAGTACGTTGTATATAATATTTTTCAATAAACAGCTGTTTTATAACAATAGGTTATTTTATTATTAAAAAATCTATTTTTACTTCGTGCAGAGTGTGAAAGTATCCGAACATAATTAATAAAGCAGAGCTGCACTAATTACAATTCTGAAGAGTCCTATTTCAAGAATTCTAAGTCTTTGTCCCAGTCTACAATAGGGATTTAAACCCTAAGCCTTACGAAATTGACTAATCACAGTCGCGCATTCTACTCATACTTGACCGTGATTGGTCAATTTCTTAAAGCTTAGGGCTTAAATCATCTATTGTAGTCTGCGACTTAGTCCCAGTATGAGTAGAATGCGCGACTGTGATTAGTCAATTTCTTAAGGCTTAGGGCTTAAATCTCTATTGTAGACTGGGACTTAGTCTACAATAGATGATTTAAGCCCTAAGCCTTAAGATATTGGCCAATCACGGTCAAATTTGAGTAG